GAGCCTCCACCAATTACATACACGGAGACCTCAACACCCTAAAACTATCATGGCAGACAACATTCGGGCCCTTTGCCCTCTACAGTGAGTGAAACCAAATTTGAAGAGATCATGAATCGAAACAGCAATATTCAGCAGTGCCATTTCCAAAGCAGTGTCTGGAGCCCCAGTGCAAGGGATTACAATGACGTGATTGAGACCCACAGTCACTGCATTTATCAAGCAGTCCTGGGTGACCAATCATGAGCATTGCCACATTCTTATATCCTCTTCTTAAGAGCTGTCTTCATGGCACTGAGGACAAGTCCTACTGTATGTGTGCCAGTGAGAGCTCTTCCAGGAAGACATTGCTTCAGAGAGGTCACCCAGCCAGTCGAAGAAGGCCTCAGAATCTGTAATGAAGGTTGACACGATGCTTATTTCCAACAAGGAACTGGGACCACAAGTGGTGCTGGAATAGAGAGCAGGATCAGCCCCAGTGGGAAGCAAGTGTGTGTGTGTGTGTGTGTGTGTGTGTTTGTTTTAACTAGTTGTGACAGCAAAATACATTTCAATTCATCATACACAAATGGAGCACAACATTTCTATGTCCTGATTGTACACGGTGTAGAGATGCACCATTCATGCAAGTAGGTCCATCTCATTCCACCATCTTTTCTACTTCCATAACACCTCTCCACCACCCTTCCTTTGCCCAATTCAAAGTTCCTCCATTCTTCCCATGTCCCCCACCCCCATCATAGATCAGCATCCACTAATCAGAGAAAACATTTGACCTTTAGTTTTTTGGGTTGGCTTACTTTGCTTAGCATAATATTCTCTAACTCTAGTGGAATGCATTTTTAACACTTGCCTCCAGGGTTGTTTTCACATCTAATAATTGGTTATAAAATGGTTTGATATTAATAGAGGTATAACTTTATAATCATTTTATCAGACACTTAATGCTAAGTGTAATCCTACACATCTTCTTTCTCACCTCCCTTGATCCTTAGTTCATACCAGTGTTCTGTATTATAATTTCTCTACAGTTTCAGTACCAAATAAGGACAGTAACTTGAACTTGATTTGAATCTGTATCATATGAATTTTAAGTTGTCATCATCTGGTATTTTGAAAAGTCAGTCCACTGGCATAGAATCAATGAGAGAAAAGAATTTCTCCCCCTGAGAATTCAAAACATCTTTTATAGCAATTTATCCTTTTAGGCTTTTTCTTAAGAGAGTCCCTTATCTCTCTTAGTTCAGTAGTTCTCAAAGTTTGGTCTCATATAAGCAGCATCAGGCATCATCTTGGATCATATTAGAAGCACCAGTTTTGGGTTGTCAATCCCAAACCTTATGATATAGAGACTGGGGATTGAGGCCAGAATCCGATGTTTCCAAAATATGCAGAAGTCTTAAGAACTGTTGTTTTGCTGGACACCATGGTACACATCTGTAATCCCCAGTAGCTTGGGAAGCTAAGGCAGGAGGATCTTGACTTCAAAGCCAGCCTCAGCAACGGCAAGGCACCAAGTGGCTCAGGAAGGCCCTGTCTATAAATAAAATACAAAATAGGGCTGGTGATGTGGCTCAGTGGTTGAGTGTCCCTGAGTTCAGTTCCCAGTAAACCACCTGCCCCAGCTCAAACCCCTAGTTAACCCCCCACAAGAAAAAAAAATAACTGTTATCTTTTGTCCCCTCCATATTCAACGTTGTGTTTACTTCTATCAAGAGTCGTAGTAGCATGGTTATAGATGAGTTTTTATTTTAATTTCTAAGCTTAAGAGATTCACAGCATGTATAGGGAAATTTAGACTCCAACTCTAATGTGAGATGTGAACCTGAGTTTAAATTCTTGAGAGAGAAATCCATCCTGCACTTGACGTCCAGATAGAGCCAGGTGTGTTTCCTTGTTGACTCTATGCCAGTGGGATGACTTTTCCTATTATTAATTATATGGCTTTGGAAGTTTTAACTTCTTGCAAGGATCTTAGTAATGTCTTTAGATCTTTGTTTCATGATTTTTATATTTAGGCCGATTTTTGTCACAATAGAAGTCTTTATAGAGTTATTTATCAAAGTACAATTCAGGAAGTACAATAGTAATCCTTCATGCCTTATTCTAGGTTGATTTTAATTATTAAAAATCAGTAAACATTCTTCATTGTGTCAGGGTTATTAGTAATTTTACTCATTGCAGAACGAAGAGCATGTTTGGCCCATGGAGAAGGAAATGTAATCTTCTTACTACCTATTCCACTCAAAGAATGCTCTAGATTACAAGATCAGATGGAGTTGATTTCCTTTATTTTGCTGAACTCTGATTGCCTTTTATCTTTTTTATGACATGATCCATTTGCTTAAATTTTACTAATTACTTCCATGATCACAGACATACTGTTTTTTAGTTCGATCATTTTTCTTAGAGCCACCTGACTAATTGTTTTTATTTGGAATGATTACTTTTCAGACTTACTGCATTGCCATTCCTGAGATTTCTTTTGATTGCACTTTTGTATTTATTCTACCTTTTATTGGAACATATATCTCTCTTTAAAATCTTGAGAGGAAATGGTCAAGCATATACATAAAATACATAAAATTTTCTGATGTACGAGAATCTATTTTTTTAAGTCTTAGTAGTCAGTACATCTGGCAAGTTCTTGTTTTTGTCCTTACTAGATTGATAGTTTGGAGACTAATAGTTTAGAGTATAAAATTATAGATTCAATGTTATCTTACCTTAAAGTATTTTTAGTATCCTTTGTTTCTTCTGTTTTTATTTATTTAATTTTTTTTTTGGTAGCTTATTTCACTTCCTTTTTCTGGAAACAGGATGTTTTTGAGTTCCTTAAACTACTAGAATTGATAAGGATGTGATGAAACCACATTGTATATAGTATACTTTTAAATATATATATATATTATACTTTTTAATGTTTCCCTGTCCCTGTATCCATCCTGGCTTCCTATTACCTTCAGTAAAAAAAAAATTAAGATGTACCAGAGAACTAATGAATAAATAGCTTGCCTCCCTTCACTTCTGTTTGTCTTTTCTTTTTTACTTATGTGAAATTATCATAGCACAAAGAGAAGGAGAAGAACTTTTCTCAGCCGTCTTTCTTTATCTCTTATTAAATCATTGCATTTTCTGAAAATATGAACTTGTTAACCCACATTTTGAACATTGTGAAATGTGTAACTTTACAGCCAGCCAAAGTTTTTTCTCATTTCATTTGATCTTTATCGTGCTCATCTGTAGCATTAACCTCCATCTTGAATGAAGTTGAATGCATAAATTTTTTAGAATTCAGAGTTCCATGTCAGGCTTTGCAGAAGTATGTGCAGGGTAGGAGATATATATATGAAAGGTGGTGCTCAACCTTTTTTACTTTAAAAAGTTGGGATGGGGATGTGGCTCAGTGGTTAGATGCCTCTAGATTTAATCTCTAATAATTTTTTTTTAACCAGCTATGGAGATAGCTTATTTCTGGTGCTCATGATTGGTTTATTTTATTAGTTTCTCAGGTTTTTTTTTTTTTTAAGAGAGTGTGAGAGAGAGAGAGAGAGTTTTTAATATTTATTTTTAGTTCTCGGTGGACACAACATGTTTGTATGTGGTGCTGAGGATCGAACCCGGGCCGCACGCATGCCAGGCGAGCACGCTACCGCTTGAGCCACATCCCCAGCCCTCTCAGATCTTAATTGCTCTGTTCTTTTATTAAAAAATCAAAATATCTCAAGTTTGAATGGATATTTTTCATTTTTAAAATTTTGAGATTATTAGAACATAGAAACTTAAAATCAGGTAAAAACAGACATTTTTAATAGTATCATTAAGATAAATTAATGTCATAGTAAGAACTATAAAGCATACTTTCATAAATGGTTCTGAACTATTTTCTATTTTTATTGTGACAATTGAATTGTAATATTAAATACAGAAGGAAAATGGCATGACTTTTGGAACATCTCTGCTGAATAATTTGGAATGATCAAATGTAATCATTTGGCAATTTGCTTCATTCCTCCCAATTTAAAGAAAGCAATCAGTTGTTTTATGTTTATCTTTTAAAAAATCCTACATTGTAATATGTAGATATGTGGACTCTTATGGGTAATGTTTTAATATGACATTTGTGCATGTAATAGGAATCTCTCTCTCTCTTTTTTTTTTTTTTTGCAACCTAAATTTGTACCCTAATATCTAAGTAGTTAAAACTTGTAGGAGTAGATTGGAAAATAGATCTTTTAGAAAACATGTAGCCCTCTCAGATTTTCAGCTAGTTTGTACTTTTGTAAGACTCAATTGAGAAATCAAATTGGATGGGGAAAATCCTGGAAAGTCAATAATGCAATTAAGTGATCATATCAGTTTTATATCTAGTAAGCCCATATTGTGACGCTTGAAAATGACAAATCCCAAAGTGCTGTGACATTTTAATTAGGAAATGATGATCTATATCAGTCGACTATTTCTGTTTGATATAAGTCTTACTTTATCCGTGTAATCATCATTAAAAATATATGTGTAATACCCCAAACAGAGAGAGAATAGTAGTGGTAATAGTAGTAGAATTTAGAAGCAAGTTGAGGGCCCGTGAGATGGAGGGGGTATCCTAAACCAAAATTTGAACTTGTCAATTGATGGTTAGATGATTAACTGGTAATTGGCAAAGAGCATGGTAGAATTTCTCAAGTTGATTAGGATTTTAAAGATAAGGTCAAGTACTATATTAAAGCTCATTGCACTATCATATGCCTTATATATTGTTACCTGACATTTTATCATTAATTTTTTAAAAAGTTAATTTTTCATTTGATAATATTTGTTGTACATCTCACTTCTTTCTACCTTTAATAGCATTTTCTTTAGGGGTTTACATTTAGATTTATAGTGCATGTGTATTCTCATTTACATTTTGGGGGTAAATATATTTAAATAATTATGCATGTGCAGTATTATGAAATCCTTAAAAGGCCTTATTTAGTTGATTGATTTTGTTGCATTGACAGAGTGAAGATAGTCCGAGTCCTAAGAGACAGCGCCTCTCTCATTCAGTCTTTGATTATACATCAGCATCACCAGCTCCCTCACCACCAATGCGACCATGGGAGATGACATCAAATAGGCAGCCCCCTTCAGTTCGACCAAGCCAACATCACTTCTCAGGGGAACGATGCAACACACCTGCACGCAACAGAAGGAGGTTAGTTGGTTATAATTTATTTCTTAAAATTTTCTTTTATTAGTAGATTTGTAATTTTAACATCAGAAGACATATTTCTATAGGCATTTCATTAACACATCAGTGGATGCACATGTGCACATGAACATGTACTAGATTTTAAGAGATCATTTATCTTGTAATTGACATCTGAAGAAATTGAGAGGGATAAAGTGATTTACCTAAAGTCCTTCTATGACATTAAATATTTTTTGTTGGTGGTGTTTCAGTGCTGAGGAACCAATCCAGGTCCTTGTGCATGCTAGACAAGCAAGTGTTTTACCACTGAGCCACATCCCCCTCCATATATGAATTCAGTTTTACCTTATGGTTTAAGACTTTATGTGGGCTAGTCTATAATCCTGATTACTGAAAAATGCATTCTATAGTTCATAACTATAAGGAAATATGGACATTTAGGAATAAACTATCTCTTTGCCACTCCATTCCTATTTCTTCTGTATCCCCTAAAGCAATTAGGAACTTAAGTATGTTTCTTATTTAAAAAAATAAATAAAAATTAAAAAAAAAAAAACTGTGAAGCCTGAGTTGTGGAAGAATAACTGAAGTTCACTTTTAGTCCTCCTTTCCACCAGACTTGGCTCTTGCCTTTTCTTCTTGAGTGCATTTCTTCCTGAGCTTCCTCTTTTGTTGTTGCTTGAGGTCATAAAATTCTTGATTCTAGGTAATTGTCTAATTGGGGTGACATACTTGTTTGCATATCCAGGATGTTGATATCAAAGGAAAGTAATAATCTTGAATTAGGAAAGTATTATTGACTAAACGTTTTTGTGTACCTCCAAAATTCATATGTTGAAGTCATAACCCCTTACTGTAGGTGGTATTTGGAGATGTGACCTCTAAGGGAAGTACCTAAGGTTAAATGTGGGTATAAGGGGTGGGACCTTTGTCTAATAGGATTAGTGTCCTTTTAAGGGAGAGGCATCAAAAAATTCATTCTCTGCCATATATAAACACAGTGAGAAGTGGTTGTTTCAAGTCAGGAGGAGACCTCTCTCCAGAAATCAGTCATGGTGGCATCTTGATCTTAGACTTCAAGCCCCAGAACTTTGAGAGAATAAGATCCTATTTAAGCTACCCAGTTTGTGTTATTTTTATGGCATCCTGAGCAGATTAATACAGAAGAAATACCACAATCACCGTTCTGTTTTCCAAATGAACACAGATTCCAAACATGGTAACTGAGCTATATTCTATTGTGACACTAAGACTTACTCTCAGTACATTATTAGTCAATTATATGGAACAATTTTAGTAAAATAATGTATGGCTACTAGGACAATTGTTTTATAGCTGTTAAATAAGCCCGAGAAAATAATTTTTGTTTTATTTTGGGTTTTAGAGTTATTGTTTGTTTTGCTTTTATTTTTGTATTTTTTTTAATATGGCAAATTGTCATATACTGAAAACATGTAAAACAAATTATGGTAAAAAAAAAATAGCAAACACATATACCCAAAATCTGGGTTAAAATAGAACTTTATTGATTCCACAAAACAAAAGAGTGGGTTGCCACCACTGCGTGCCTCTACCTCCTCCACCTGCCATTTTCCTTCCTCCTTCCTAGAGGGTGAACTCATCTAGGAATTTGTCATTGTTCTCTATATTTTGCCCCCTCCCCCTTTTTAGTGGGGGATGGTACTTGGGATTGAACTCCAAAGCACTCAACCACTGAGCCACATCCCCAGCCTTATTTTGTATTTTAGAGACAGGGCCTCACTGAGTTGCTTAGCACCTCACTGTTGCTGAGGCTGGCTTCGAATCCATGATCCTCCTGTCTCAGCCTCCCAAGTCGCTGGAGTTACAGGCATGCGCCACCCTGCCCAATTGTTCATTATAGTTTTTAATGCCTGTTGGTGTTTTTCCTTTTTTTTAAGCTACTAATATTATGAGGATTAAACCCAAGGGCCTTGGTGGCAGAAGTTTATTTTTACTATGACATAAGCTTTCATTTTATTAAGGTACCACACTATGTATCTACCTATTGATGGTAATAACTGGGTCAAGTCTTCTACTGTTACAAAGAAATATTAGGAAATTTCATATACGCATTTCCTCATGTACATGTGTAAAAGCTACTAGGCTGTAGAAAAATGCTCTGGATCAAGAAGAAAGTGTCAGATTATAATAGTAACTAGGTATAGAATCTTGAATTAATAAGAAGTATCATGCTCTTCATTCATGGCAATACGAAGGTGGTGTAAGGAGAACTTAACTGTCTAGAAAACTAGCTTCTTGTATATTCTGTATACAACTTTAAGCTTGACTGCCCAATTTTCTCCTAGAGGCCAGCTGTGCAAGAAGATGTGATTTTGAAAGTAATGTAGCAAGATTTTAGATGCAAAGATGCACAAAATCAGGAAATAACCAAACACTCGAAAAAAAACCAACAAAGTGAAAGACACTAAGTGTAATAAAACAACTTGAATAAATAGAGGCATTATACTCAGTAATTAACAGAATTACTTGAATAGTTAAAAGAAATTAGAATTGTAGATTAAGTATGAGAGATGCAAGAGGATATTATATCCATAAAAATCAACTTGGAGAGGCTGGGGTTATAGCTCAGCGGTAGAGCACTTGCCTCACACATGTGAGGTGGTGGGTTCCATCCTCAGCACCACATAAAAATAAATACAGTAAATACATTTTTAAAAATCAACTTAGAAATCTCAATTAGTAAAATTTAATAAGTGGTCAGAAAAAGTGGAGTTTCCCAAAATGTCTTATAAAAAGGACAAAATAGAAAGTATGGGGAAATAAATTTAAATAATGATATCAAACTATCAGTTTTATATATATGTCTAGTAATATTTTCAGTTATATATGTCTAATATTTATATTTTGTAACATAAATAAAGTTTTAAAAGACAATAATACAAAATCACTTTTCAGATTTGGAGAAAAACTGAGTTTTAAGCAGGATCTTGGTGAAATTTCAGAACATACACCAAGGAACAAACACTAGACTCAGCAAAAGCAAAGCTCTAAGAAACTCAGTGACTCTCTCTCTAAATAAAATACACTGAACCACATCCCCAGGGCTGGGGATGTGGTTCAGTGTTCCAGTATCCCAAAGTTCAATTCCCGATACTACTACCACTACCAATAATAATAATAATTATTATTCACAGATAACTTGAGGTGGAAAATAGACCATACACAAAGAAATGAGAACCAAATTGACCATAAGCTTTTCTAACATTAACAGCATTAGATATAAGAAGGCAGTGGAGTACATCTTCAGAGTTATGTGAGAATTTACATTTTGCTTTGAATTGTACCTGCTGATTTATCATTTTAATGTCAGAATGTAAAAGCATTTTCAGATATATAGGTACATATTCAGAAAATTAACCAGCAAGAGATCCTTTCTGCTTGTATTATTAAATATTATGCTCTATCTAGGAAGCAGAAGCAGAATAATAAATACAAGAAATAGGGTTCAAGACCATTGGTTAACAATGAAAACAAAAACATGCTAATTCTGAATAAGGGTCTGTTGTATACGAAAGAAATTCAGAAAAGGTCAGAAAAGGTCAGAACATGAGAAGGGGATAGAACAGAGAACAGAGATGATTTTAGAAAAATGAATGTATGTGTTTGAAAACTTCCAGTGACTGATCACTGAAAGATTAGCATGTATAATTTCCACACATTTAAATAGATAACATATATATAAAAAATCAGTACAACAAAGGCAAAAAAGTGAGGTTAAGAAGAACAGCATTGTGCTGTTTTACAAGTGTTAGACCTTGTTTTACAAGTGAAGCAAATGGCAAAGTACATATCCATCACTGGTAGAAATATTGCATCTGAAAGAAATATTTGTCTCTCTCCCTTGTTTTCAGGTTTCAGTAATTCTGAATAAATGTTCTAGTGCAAAGGTGTGCAACAGAGGCAATGAGATGCAGTCAATATAGGAATGATAGGGATCAAAATCATGAAGGGACTTTCCTGTTAACACAGCAGGATCTTGTTTTGTGATTATTTCAAGAGCTTCATAGGAATTACTTTTGAATAGGGAATGAGTAACAGTAACAGTAATTGTGAGGGGAAAAAATAGTGTAGGGTAAAGGTTTGTGGACAGATGGGATTTTGGGAGGGGAGGGGGAAATGTTTACATACACCATATAACATGGGTTAGCATAAATATGTGTATATACAAATATTTCTTTCTGCTTTATTTGTTTTATTTTTATTGTGAATTCAACCCAGGGCATCATGTATGCTAGGCAAGTGCTCAGCAGTGAGCCACATCCCCAGCCCTTGTTCTGCTTTCTTAGCCTGGAAACAGTGAATGCTACTAGTATCTGTTCTTGGCTTCCAAGACTTCTGCAGTAAAGGAACCAGGGCTTTTGTAGAACTGTTTAAATCCAGGGCTGGAGTAATGAAACTACAAAGATGACCCTGGAGTAAATTGTGGTTCCAGATATTAAAAACATGGGAGTATATTGAACGAGAGCACAGGAGCCAAGCTGAAAGTGTTCCCAATGGAACAATTTGAATAACAAAGTAAAATAGTAGTATAGATTATAGCCCAGTGAGCGGAGTAAATATTCATGAATCCATATTGATCATAAGCAACTGAATAAACAAATGAGAGATGAGTGACAACTCTTCCTTATAGAATTCCTGTTAATAAATATACAGTGGGACATAGTGGTGCACACCTGTAATCCTAGCAGCTCAGGAGGATGGCAGGTTCAAAGCCAGCCTCAGCAATGACGAGGCACTAAGCAATTCGGTGAGACCCTGCCTTTAAATAAAATACAAAATAGGGCTGGGAGTTGTGGCTCAGTGGTTTAGTGCCCCTAAGTTCAATCCCCAGTAACTCCCCCCCATCCCCGCCCCAGTACACACACACACACACACACACACACACACACAAGCTATCAGGAGAATAGAAAATCACCATTGGAATAATATAATGATTGCAAATCTATGTATTTTGAAAATTATTGATGAAACCTACTTAAATTTGTAACTTTTTAGAGCCAATGAAGAACTAAAGCAATTATTTAATAGTTAAGTTTACCTTAGAATACACTGTCAGTGGGTATCTAAGAGAGTGAATACAGAATCCTGATGGATCATAATAGTAGCATGTCAGTTTATTCCACTTTGTTCAATAAAACATACACGAAGCATCAAGTTTATAAAATAAAGTGAAGTATAGAAGTATCCATTTTATTATTTCTTGACTTTTTAGATTATTTACATTGGTACTAAAAATGAAGATAAACCACTCATTTTCCTTTACTGTTTTTGCTTTTAGTCAAAGAGAATGTACTAGATTTTTTTCAGTGCAATTCTTTTTTATGCTAATTTTTTATATATGACAACAGAATGCATTATAATTCATATTATACATATAGAGCATAATTTTTCATATCTCTGGTTTATAGAAAGTATATTCACAGGCTGAGGTTGTGGCACAGCGGTAGAGCTGAGCCACAAACCCAGCCTGTGAATATGCTTTCTTGATCAAACCCAAATCACCCTGGATTTGATCCTCAGCACCACATAAAAATAAGTAAAATACAACTACAACTAAAAAATAAATATTTAAAAAATAAAGAAAGTATATTCACAACATTCATGTCTTCATACATGTACTTAGTTAGGGTAATGATATCTATCTCATTCCACCATCTTTTTTATCCCCTTGCCCCAATCCTTGCCCTCTCACTCCTTTCCCCTATCTAGAATTCCTCTAATCTTCCCATGCTCCCCCTCCTAACCCCACTATGAATCAGTCTCCTTAAATCAGAGAAAACATTTGGCATTTGGTTTTTGGAGATTGGCTAACTTCACTTAGCTTTATCTTCTGCAGTGCCATCCATTTACCTGCAGATGCCATGATTTTATTCTCTTTTATTGCTGAGTAATATTCCATTGTGTATATATATATATACACCACATTTTCTTTATCCATTCATCTATTGAAGGGCATCTAGGTTGGTTCCACAGTTTAGCTATTTGTGAATTGTGCTGCTATAAACATTGATGTGGCTGTGTCCCTGTAGTATGCTGTTAAATCCTTTGGGTATAGACCAAGGAGTGGGATAGCTGGGTCAAATGGTAATTCTGTTCCCAGTTTTCCAAGGAATCTCCATACTGCTTTCCAGACTGGCTACACCAGATTGCAGTCCCACCAGCAATGTATGAATGTGTGCCTTTTTCCCCACATCCTCGCCAACACTTATTGTTGTTTGTGTTCTTAATAGCTGCCATTCTGACTGGAGTGAGATGAAATCTTAGAGTAGTATTGATTGGCATTTCTTTAATTGCTAGAGATGCTGAACATTTTTTCATATATTTGCTGTTTGATTATATATCATCTTCCGTGGCCCATTTATTGATTGGGCTATTTGTTTTTTTGGTGTTTAGCTTTTAGTTCTTTATATACCCTAGAGATTAAGTGCTCTATCTGATGCTCAAAAGGTAAAATTTGCTTCCAAGATGTAGGCTCTCTATTCACCTCACTGATTGTTTCTTTTGCTGAGAAGAACCTTTTTAATTTGAATCCATCCCATTTCTTAATTCTTGATTTTAATTCTTGTGCTGTAGGAGTCTCATTAAGGAAGTTGGGGCCTAATCTGTCATGATGGAGATTTGGGCCTACTCTTTCTTCTTTTAGGTGCAGGGTCTTTGGTTTAATTTCGAGGTCCTTAATCCACTTTGAGTTGAGATTCATGCATGGTGAGAGAGAGATTTTTAATTTCATTTTGTTGCGTTTTTCCCAGCACCATTTGCTGTCTTTTCTCCAGTGTACTTAGCACCTTTGAATGACCCTCTTTTTTGACATTTACTGTTTCAGTCCTCCTGTCAGGCGCCAGAGAGGAAGAAGGGATCGTCTGTCTCGACATAATTCCATTAGTCAGGATGAAAACTATCACCATCTCCCTTATGCACAGCAGCAAGCAATAGAAGAACCTCGAGCCTTCCACCCTCCGAATGTATCTCCCCGTCTGTTACATCCTGCTGCTCATCCACCCCAGCAGAATGCAGTAATGGTTGACATACATGATCAGGTATAATAACAGAATGTTCCAGAAATACAAATGATAAAAGTTGGTTGCTTTTTTGATTGTTTGATTCTGTGTTGCAGATTTCTTTGTAATTTTACCTGAAATTAGCTGTTTTATTTAATTTTAACTCTTAAAATGAAGAACTTTAAATTCTACACAAAATAAAAGTTCAAAGAAAAATAACAGTGAAAAAATCAAAGTATTTTATGAGGGAAATTAAGAATCAATCTTAACAAGTTGTGCAAGACCTCTGTGTAAAATATTGTAACACACTTGAGGAAGTTTAAATAAAATTTCCAGTTGTCAGTTTTCAAAATTGATATATATAGAACTAATGTGATCCCATATAAATCTCTAATAAAATTATTGATGTAACTTGAAAAGTTGATCATATAATTTCTGTGGCGGCTTAAAGGACCTTATGTAGTCTGTAGCAGGAGAAAACAAACGTAGCTTATTGTGGTGAAATAAGCAACATGAGCATGAGCATGTGCTTATTTGTTTATCTGTTGTCTATGGTTTCTTAGTGCAGAAATCAGGATGGCCAGCAAACTTAAAATACTTAAAAATAAATAATGGAGATTGAACCCAGGGACGTCCACAATAGAGCTACATCTCCAGCCCTTTTTCTTTTTGAGATAGGGTCTCATTAAGTTGCTCAGGACTGGCCTCAAACTTGTGATTCTCCTGCATAAGCCTCTCAAACAGTTGGGATTAATTATAGGCATGTGTCACTGTATCCCTCTCAGAATTTTTATAAATGATGCTGGGACAATTGGGTATCCAAAAGAAAATGTGAAACTAGAGCCTTTACCTCACACTATTCACAGTGGTAAAGTCCAGGTAGATTAAAGAGTTAAGTATTAAAGGCAAAATAATAACCTTTCAAGAAAATAACAAAGAAATGGCTTTATAGCCTTCAGTAGGGAAAGGCTTTCTTAAAAGGAAAAGCACTGATTGAATAGAGAACTTGTGATAAATTATACTTAATTAAAATAAAGATATTGTGTTCATTGTAAAAAGTAAATATATATTGGCCACTTAAATTTGTTTTATAAAGATTCCAAAGGGATTCAGGAAGGGGGAGGAAGATCTTTTTTTTTTTTTTTTTTTAAACAAAAAGAATGATGCAGAAGCAACCAGATATCCATTTAGATGGATTTAACACTGGATTCTTGACTCCATGTCACATACAAAAATTAAAATTGGATTCTAGATTTAAATGTGAAAGGTAAAATTATTATTTTTTAAAATATTTATTTTTTTAGTTGTAGTTGGACACAATACCTTTATTTTATTTATTTATTGTTACACGGTGTTGAGGATCGAACCCAGAGCCTCGCACGTGCTAGGTGAGTGCTGTACCATTGAGCCACAACCCCAGCCCAGTAAAATTATTAATGAAAAAGATTATCACTTTATGAGGTACCAGAGATTTCTTAATCAGGATATATGAAGCTCCAGACACTTCATGAAATACTAATTAAAATTAAAACTTCCTGTTATCCAAAAACAGTATTCAAAAAGTAACAAGCCACTACTTGGAAGAAAATATTTATAGTACTATATTTGAGAGAGGACTAGGATCTAGAACATAAAAATAACTTTACAAAATTTATTACTAAAATTGCAGTAAGATACCCTACAAATCACTATAGGAAAATGAAAAAGATTGGCAGTTCCAATGCTGGTGGAGTAAAATGTGATATAATTACTTTGGGAAATAGTGGGAGAATTTCTAATGTCAAACACATCTGTTGTATGATCCATCAATTCTACTCTGATACACACAAGAAATGAGTATACATATCCATAGTTGTCATTTGTTGTTGTTTTTTAAATGTGATGCTGAGGATTGAAACCAGTGTGCCTAACATGTGCCGGGCAAGTACTCTACCACTAAGCTACAACACCAGCCCACAGTTGTCTTTTTTCCCCACATTTTTATTGGTGTATTATAGTTGTACATAATGATGAGATTTGTTTTTACACGTTTGTACTTGCATACAATGTAACAATGTAACTTGGTCAATATCACTTCCCAACACTTTGTGTCTTTTGTTTTAGAAAAAATAGTCACCATGAAGGCAGTTAAAATATATTTAATCAACACAAGACTATGGGGGGGTTATATCTAGGTGGTACAGACATTAAAAGAAACAGATTACCACAAAAGTCAGGATGACAAGGGGATTAGGGAGTGGCTGTGAAGTCACTTTGGGAAGGATCTCTTATGAAACTCCATGGAGATCTTGGTGTGTGTTATATTTTATTGATTCCAAAATATACTGTTTCATTTTTTAACATTCTGAAGTTTGGATGTGTCTCACAATTAACAGCATTTTAATTTGGTGTCAGCCAGGCAGCAGTTTATAACATAGTTGTCATTGCTTTTTGCTTGTTCTAACATCGAATCTGTGTTTTAGGGAGAGGTGAGTTAACTTCATTCTCCAAGCACAAGTTAAAAGTAGAGAAGTCTACATAATTACAAACATGATTAAAGAATCTGGCACCAAGTAGCCTTTATTTCTTTTATTGATCATTTTAAGAAATGATGCATTACCAACCTCCTTGATGGTACTAACTTTCTTCTGGAAAAAACATATACATTGAGAGGAAAAGTGACTCAGTACAGTCAGACTCTAAAAGTGAAGAAGTATTGACTAACCACTTTATTTTACTTATAATTGCCTTTTTATGAACACACAACTGTTGTCTCTATTACAGTGCCTTTAATAAATTTATAAATATAAAATTTCTGTGATAAAGTCATATCACATAATTGGGAATATTTTTCTTAGTACACTAAAAAATAGTCATGATATGATTGACATGAGATTCAATGAAATATATTTGAACTATGGCAAAGTATCAGAAATCAGTCAATTTTTATTAGTAAAATTTATAATTTCCATTAAAGTCAAATATAGGATAGGTATAATATATAAGTTTTCTATATTTATGTATTTATCTCTATAGTAAAATATAACTTTTTTTAGAGAGAATTTTTTTTAATATTTATTTTTTAGTTTTTCGGTGGACACAACATCTTTATTTTATTTTTATGTGGTGCTGCATCGAACCCAGTGCCCTGCGCATGCCAGGCAAGTGCACTACTGCTTGAGCCACATCCCCAGCCCCAAGATAGAACTTTCAAAATATATTTAAGGGCTGGGGTCATAGTTCGGTGGTAAAGCAATCACCTAGCACATGTGAGACCCTGGGTTTGATCCTCAGCACCACATAAAAGTAAATAAGTAAAAGATTGTGTTCATCTACAACTAAAAAAAAATTTTTAAAAAGGATTTAAAAAAATATATATTTAAAAAGGACAAGAAAATTAAATAATTGAGTTAACTCTTAGCAGATATAAGAAAGGAAAAATATCTAATTGGGGGGAGTTAGTTTGATTGTTGCACTCAGCCTCATGCGTGCTAGGCAAGTTCTCTACTATTGAGCTCCATCCTTAGCCCTCTAGTTTTTAAAAATAGTAGCTAAGGTTTGCTAGATTTCAGATACATAAATGCACATCAGTGTCTTAGTACAAAAACTAAATGGATTTGACATGCAAATAGAGAAAAATACAGTATAATAAAACTTTTGAACTTAAAAAGAACTTTGAATGGCAAATTTAATAAAGAATAATACTTCTAGCTAGGGGTTTTAGTTCAGTGGTAAAATGCTTACCTAGCATGCATGAGATCCTGGATTTAACCCCAATTAAATAAATAAATAAATAATATATATATTTGTATAAATAAATAATAATATATCTATTTTACAAAGAATACTGATTTCTGAAGGACAGGACTATAGTTGTGTAATTTTCCTAGATAAAAAGGTTAATATAAAATTGAATACTTTGTAAAATAATATAAATTTTAATTCAGTTAAATTTTAGGAGCAAAGGTAAAAAATAGACTGGAAATATATTTTAGCTATAAACGACAATAAAACAAGACTAAAAATAGACTGGGAATATATTTTGGCTACAAACAATAAAACAAAACTAAAAATGGTTTTGACAAACTAGAAAATGGGCAGTGAGCAAAGGATATAGATTATTTATAGATAAAATCTACATGGTAATAAACTGTGTTGACAGAAGTTCCTCCTCTCTAATCAGAGAAGTGCCAATTTGAGGCAAGCATACAAATAGCTTGCTTCCACCTTGGATATGTAAACATGTTTCTAATATAAATAAGTTATCTTTGAATAGAGATTCTGGGAATTGGGACCTCATATGCTACTGCTGAGAGAATGACTTCCTCAAGTCTGTTTTTTTGGTTTTGGTTTTGGTTTTTTTTCCCCCATACTGGAGATTGAACTCAGGGATAGTCTACCACTGAGCTAAATCCCCTGCCTATTTATTTATTTATCTATCTATCTATCTATCTATCTATCTATCTATCTATCTATCTATTTATTTATTTATTTATTGAGGCAGATTCATGTCAGTCTACCACTGAGCTAAATCCCCTGCCCATTTATTTATCTATCTATTTATTTATTTATTGAGGCAGAGTCATGTCAGCTTGCCAAGGCTGATCTTAATTTTGTAATCCTCCTTCCTTGGCCTCCCAAGTAACTGGGATTACAGATGTGTACCACCGTGCCTGGCTGCTTTGACAGTATCTTTAACAGCATCACTCCTTTACCCAGTAGTGCCTCTGAGATAAATAAAACTACCAGTACTATAAAGTAATGTTTTTTTAATAGTCATTTGTATTGTCAAAAGTATGAAAACAACTCAAATGTCTATTATCATCATATGATAGGACTTTGTTAAGCAGGTGTGCTAGGGACTAGGGATATAGCTCAGTGGTAGAGCCCATTCCTAGCATGCCCAAGGATCTGGGTTCAAATGCCAGAACTAAAAAAAAAAAAAAAAAAAAAATAAGAACAAATAAAACAAAGGCTAGTCTCAAGAGAAACAAGTTGAATACATATCTATGGTACAAACTTAAGGGAAAATATGACTTATTTTCTGTTAAAACAATATGCATGACTGTAGATGTTTATATGCTCATGGAGAAAGAGGATATGTTATTAACATTGTTTGCCCTCAGGGTGGAGAAGATGGGACTAAAGTTGGCTACAAGGGAAGGAGATAATTTTATGTGTATATTGGGGGTCAGTGCTGGGGATTGGTCCCAGAGCCTTGCACGTGCTAGGCAAATCCTATATGGCTGAACTATATCCCCATCCCAAATAATTTTTTAATAGTATTTTCTTTTGTTTCACTAGTTGGAATTAAATATCTTTTTCCATCGACTATAACCAGGTATACAAACTTTTATTTTTACAAGTTTACCCTTTTAGAAGTTTTCTGCTGTACATGGCATGCTGGAAGATTTATTATAACATTAGATTACTCTGAGCTTTTTAAGTCTCTTTGAGGGAAAAGTTTAGACCTAGTTCTTCCAGGGTCATATATATTCTTAGAATAGTCGGCTTTCCTTTACAAAAACCATGAATATCCTGGTTGAAACTGCTGGAGGAAGTACATTATGAAAATCTGTGCATCTGAGAAGGGGAATTAATAAATGTCCAAATATTAATTTCTAATAATTAACATTATAGCCAAATAGCTAAAGTTTTATTTTTCTTCCCTAATAGCTCCATCAAGGAACAGTCCCTGTTTCCTATACAGTAACAACAGTGGCACCACATGGGATTCCACTCTGCACAGGCCAGCACATTCCTGCTTGCAATACACAACAGGTCCCAGGATGCTCTGTGGTTTTCAGTGGACAACACCTCCCTGTTTGTAGTGTGCCTCCTCCAGTAAGTCTGTGCCTTTCTTTTCATTAGATCTTAACTGTTAAACACCAACCTGTGTTTGGTTTTGTCATTTACTACTGAAATCCCTTTTTAAAATGGCTATGTGTATTACATAAGCCAAACAAAATTTGAGAGTATCTTTGTAGCTTCTCTTACAAGTAAAAAATCTCAAAAACATGGTTTTAGTAACCATTTAATAAAAGTAGCTTTAAAACATCGTGTTTTTTAAATCAGAATTTTAAATTTTACATTTAATTGAATATCTTGTCAAACCATATTTCTTCCTATGTAAACACTGTTTATAATTAAAGCTAGATAAAGCCAGGTTCATGATGCCTGCCTGTAATCCCAGTGACTTGAGAGGCTGAGGCAAGAGGATTGCAAGTTTTGGGCCTTGGCAACTTAATGAGACCCCTGTCTTAAAAAAAAAAAAAAAAGATAAAGAAAAGAAAAAAGAAACAAAAGAAAAAGAAAGAAAAGGTTTGAGAATGTAGCTCAGTGATAAAGCACCCAAATTCAATCTTCAGTTCCCCCTTCTATAAAAAACAAAAACAAACTAGATAAAGGTTGGCTTAAGTCTCAGACACTGTAATGTTAATAGTGTCAACACCTATGGGCAATGATTTTAATGGGTACTTTAAATGCCTGGTCCCTGTGATAGAAATAGTTATCATCTCCATTTTCTAGATGTTGAATCTAAAAAGTGATTGACATACCCTACTTTTTGCCCCTGAAGTTTATGTGACCAAGTACAGTCCAACCTATTTCACAAATGAAGGTGCTGAAATTCAGAGGCTCTAAATAATTTAACATCAGTAATGTTTTCAAAGGAAAGCACTTGGCAAAAAAAAAAAATTCTAACTATAATACCTGGTCTGAATATGAGATTAAAGCAAATATACATATCCCAGTGCCAGTTTAACAGATTAATTTACCCAAACTTGGTTTCTCAGTAATAACCATTGTCAGCCAACATACAAACCATAAAGCAGTTGTAAGTTGTGCTCTTATAAAACAAGCTTGGATGTAGCTTAGAGGTAGAGCCTAACACACATGAACCACTGAGTTCAATCTCCAGTACTGCCCAAACAAAAAAAAAATTTTAATAAGAAAAGGCCCTAGAAAGAAAAAACTTCTACAAGATTGAAAAAACAGAACTTCTTAGAATATAGTAATGTCTTCTACATATTAAAAGAACTAGAATGAGGTTTCTTTTCTGTATAGCATCTACCCTTCTATTTTAAAAAAAACCCAAGAGGCAATTTAATTGATTTGGAAGAACTATGTCAAATAGATTATTTAAAATGGGTTTATCAAGATAGTAACTTACTAGTAGATACAAAAATATAGTAGGATTTTTAATAGAAGTTATTAAAAATATTTTGTATGATTTTGGGGAAGGTATGGCAATAATTTGAATGCTGTTGTATCTTTTAAAAAACTAATATATTCTGACCAACACTTACTAATAGATGCAAAAATACAGAAGTATTTTATTTTTAATGTTATTTAAAATGTTTTGTATGATTTGGGGGAAAACATGGCAATGTATCTTTTTAAAAAATTAATTATATATTTTGATATATTTAACCAGAAAATAATTTTTCTTACAGATGCTTCAGGCATGTTCAGTTCAGCACTTGCCAGTACCATATGCTGCATTCCCACCTCTCATTTCTAGTGATCCATTTCTTATACATCCTCCTCACCTTTCTCCCCATCATCCTCCTCATTTGCCACCACCAGGCCAGTTTGTCCCTTTCCAAACACAGCAATCACGATCGGTAGGTATCTTGTGTTTTTAATTTTCCCAGAATATTTAGACCTGGCAGAAGAATTTAGTGGGTTATTGCCACTTAAACACTGTAACTTAGCTATTTTTATGGTTCTTAAAAGAATTAAAGGAATCTACAAACAAAAATAGTGTAAGCATTGAATTAGCCCGATTTCTTATTTTTTTCCTAGTTATTTTACTGTCCTTTGTCAAGTTTCATTCCTTTAGGACATAAATCTGAAGAAAAATTTAGTTGTGCTGTTTTTTACCTTTATATCTCTAAATTGAAATATTGTGAAATTAATACTTGTTAGAATATTTGTGTTTATTTAGGCATGTAAATTAACTTCTAAGTCTAAATTGAAAAAATATATATACCTAAATTGAAAATATTGTGAAATTATTGCTTGTTGGAATATTTATATTTATTTAGACATGTAAATTAAATTCTAAGTCTCAAAGTTTTTTTTTTTTTCTGAGGGCCTGCTTTTCTATGTTCTGATGAAAAGCAAATGCAATAGTTAATTCTGTCCTGGGATTAGAATATAGCTGAGAGGCACATTATTTGCGGGTGTGCGGTCTAGCATGGGAAAACATTGTATAAATAAAAAGAAGGACACAGGAAAAAATTTCATTTGTGCCAGGTGTGGTGACACATGCCTATATTTCAGCAATTTTAGGAGACTGAGGCAGGTGGATCACAGTTTCAAGGCCAGTATCAGCAACTTAGCAAGATCCTGTCTGAAAAATAAATTTTAAATTTATTTTTAAAATTTTAAATTTTAAAAAGGGCTGCAGGTAGATAGCTGGGTGTGGAGCACATGTCTATAATCTCTGTGACTGGAAGCTGAGGCAGGAGGATTGCAAGTTTGATCCCAGCTTCAGCAACTTAGTGAAGTCCCATCTCAAAAAATAAAAAGGACTAGGGATGTGTCTCAGTGGTAAAGTGCTCCTGCGTTAAATCCTTGGTACCAAAATAATAATAACAATAATAGTAAATAAATAAGCAAAAATTGTCTGCAGGTAGAGCTCAGTGGCTGAGCCCCCCTGGGTTCCCTATTACCACCAGAAATGAAAAGGTCCAAATGGTTTTTGGTCAGGCCAAACTTGACATGTAAACCATTAAGCATTAAGGGAAAATTGGAAAAATAACCTGTGGAAATTGTTTGTTTTAAAGATTTCAGTTCAGTTCTGTGAAAGGAATCTAACCATCTTGGACAGCAGAACCTAACAATTATTACTAAGGAGTTATGCACCATTCTGAGTACCAAAGAAGGTGAACTCACTTAACTTCTTAGTTCTCTTGAAAAGTATAGAAACAATTATGATTGAAGTTTGACTCATCTGAAAATCTTTTCTCCGGCTGGGGTTGTGGCTCAGAGGTAGAGCACTTGCCTACCATGCATGAGGTACTCACTGGGTTCGATCTTCAGCACCACATAAAAATAAAAGATATTGTTATAACTAAAAATAAATATATTTTTAAAAAATCTTTTCTTGGAATTAGAATAGGGTTCATACCTAAATTATCCTCCTACTTAGTCCTCCTGTATCTGGGAATTTGAGGTTTAAGTAAAATTTTGTCACTTGTATTTAAGTTTGGAATTCTTTGAAAGGTTCAGTCATAAAATCAAAGTAGAACTTAGGTTCATTGGTATTGTCATAGTGTAAGTAGTTGTGATTTTTCTCAAGTATGCATAAACTTCCAAATTAAAGTATTAGTAATTGTTTGTTGCTTATTCTGTAACTGAGCTTTGAAAGGAGTCAAAGTAACATGTAAAATTATATTTTTGCTCAAGAGAATTGAATTTAAAACATCACATAAATGTGTACATGTTTACAGCAACATTATTCCCAGTAGCTAAAAAGTCAAGAGAGTCAAGATGTCTATTCACTGATAAATGGATGAATGATGTTTCCATACAATGGAATACTGTTGAACCTTAAAACAGAATGAAGTGTTGATGCAGTCTACAAGATGGATGACCCAAATCCATTGAGTTGTACTTCTTTTAAAGTTGTGTTAATTATATTCCAATAAATGTCCTACGTGGTTGGAATAGCGCTATGTACTTCATGTACATTGACTTTGTTCAAAATAGACTTTTGAGTGAGGGTAGAGGGGATTTAACCCAGGGCCTTCAATCACTGAGCTACATAACCCAGCCCTTATTTATTTGTTTGTTTGTTTATTTTAAAGACAGGGTCTGAGTTCCTGAGGTCCTCACTAAGTTACTGAAACTGGCCTTGAACTTTTGATCTTCCTGCCTCCCGCTTCCCAAGTCACTGACATTATAGGCATGCACCACTACACCCGGCTTCACAGTATATTTTAGAAGTATGTTGTGAACATTTCATCCTGTCAGTTTTATAAATTATAATACTGAGGTGTGGATTAAGTCACATGGCTGATTGGTGACAGTGCCAAGATTCTAATGTCAAAGCCCGTAGTCTTTTTACTGTAGCATAATGCTACTGTACTTCATTGCATTTAGCCTTTCTTTTTTTTTTTTTTCCCCTTTCCCAGGGGTGCTCTACCACTGAGTTGTATCCTCAGAGCTTTTTATTTTGAGACAGGGTCTTGCTAATATGCTAATCTTAGCCTCCTGAGTCTCTCAGATTACAGGTGCGTGCCACCATTCCCAGCATTTAGCCCTATTTTCTGACTTATGAATACATACTATGTTCTATTTCATCTGAGAGTTTGTCTGGAAGTACTTCCATAGATCTGAATGCCACATCTGAAAAAGTAATTTTAACTTAAAGTGACAATGTGATATTTTTTTCTCGTTTTAAGTGAATGTTCAAATACTAAATGAAATATATCCTCTAATGAAAATCCTTTAAAAATTTGTTTCAGAGATTTTCTATTGAAATTGATGGTAGAAAGATTTTGCTATAATTTATTTCCACTTGTGTGGATTTTAGAATGATGTGTGAACATCAGGAGATAGATGGCCTTGGGCTAGGAGTGTAGCATGTGCAAGGCCCTGGGTTGAATCTCTTGCACTGGGTATGGGAGGGAAAAATAGATTTATGGCCTTAATGATATTTTTTTGGATTGTGCTGGGTTCGGTGGCGCATGTCTATAATTCCAGCAACTCGATACGCTAAGATGGGAGGATTGCAAGTTGAGGCTAGCCTCAGCGTCTTAGGCCATAGCAACTTAGACCCTGTCTCGAAATTAAAAAGAGCTGAGATATATAGCTCAGTAGCAATGCATCCCTGGGTTCAATACACAGTGCCCCCTCCCCCAGAAAGATATTTTTGGATTCTTAGTTTTGATTATTAAAAAAAATTGTCTACATTCTATCTGAACACTAGAATTATATACATATTTTTTTTTTTCTTTTCTCTCTACAGCCTCTGCAGAGGATAGAAAATGAAGTGGAACTCTTAGGAGAACATCTTCAAGTAGGAAGTTTTACTTATCCCCCATCAGCCCATCCCCCAACATTACCTCCATCAGCTCCTTTGCAGTTCTTGACACATGATCCTTTGCATCAGGAGGTGTCCTTTGGAGTAGTAAGTTTTTATGCATTGCTATGACAAACTATTTGAGGTGTATCAGTGTGTAGCTCTCAACATGTTCAGAAGTTTTAAATGCATTCTTTTTTTTTTTTTGGTCATTGGACAGAATGACTTTATTTTTTATTTCTGTTTATTTTGGGGGGGTGGGGGTACTAGGGATTGAACTCAGGGCACTCAACCACTAAGCTACATCCCCAGACTTATTTTGTATTTTATTGGGAGACAGAGTCTCACCGAGTTGCTTATTAGCACCTCACTAAATTGCTGAGGCTGGCTTTGAACTCTCCTCCTGCTTCCACCTCTAGAGCCGCTGGGATTACAGGCATGCACCACTGCACCCAGCCTATTTTCTTCTTTAAGATTTATTTATTTTATTTATTTATTTATTTATTTGTTTGTTTATTTTGTTGCTGAGGATCGGACCCAGTGTCTCATGTGTGTTAAGGCAAGCACTCTGCCACTCAGCTACAGCCCATCCCTTAAATGTATTCTTTAAAAAAAAAAAAAAAAAAGAACAATTTTTTTTTGGTAGCTGTAGATGTGTAGATGGACAGAATGCCTCTATTTATTTGTTTATTTTTATGTGGTACTCAGGATTGAACCCAATGCTTCAGCCCCAGCCTTTAAATGTATTCTTGCTAGCATTTATATTTAGAAATGCACCTGAGTGTATAGTTTAAACTGGTTATTACATCTGTATTAACATTTAAGAAATATTGAATGCGACTTGAACAGTGAACAGCTTTCTACATTTTAACAATCTTTATTTCATATATTAATTATTTGTAAATGTAGAATGATCTTAAATTCTTTGAACGCTTTTTCCTCTGCAGCCTTATCCTCCATTTATGCCTCGGAGGCTCACAGGACGTAGTAGATATCGATCTCAGCAGCCAATACCACCTCCCCCTTACCATCCCAGCTTACTGCCATATGTGTTGTAAGTTCTTTCTTATTTTATTGAATTCTAAATTTTGAAAACCTTGAGATTCTTTCCTTTATGAATCCTGTACAGACTCATCATTTAATTAGATATTGCTTTTACTTAAGGGGGTTAAGGTCAGGAAGCCAATTAAGAGTAAAGAAAGAGCCAAGGACATGGGAAAAAATGGGGGAAAAGATATCTCTGAGCCAAAAAATATAGGTTTAATAAATTAAGAGGTGGAAGTTCTTTGCCTTTTTTTTTTTTTTTTTTTTAACAGCTAGCATCACTTCCTATCACTTTTGATTATCTAGCTTTTGGTGCTATTTCTCTTATGGGAAAGGAGACTAGGAATTATCTGTGTGCCTTAGGATTAAATTTACCTGTAACAAATACTCATGGGTTAAATATGATTGTTTTTTCTCTTTTGCATATTGAAGTCTAGTAGTAGACAAATTCAGGGTGATTTGTTAGCCCTGTGACTGTGAGAAATGGTTCTGCTATTATAATCTTGGGACTACATGATCTAATCTGGCTCCTCTGATTCTAGTCATCATGTACATTTCCCAGCTAGCAAAAATGAAAAAGAGTCCCTCTGCATACCTGCATTTCCCAAGGATATTTCCTAAATGTAGCATAGCACATATTACTCCCTATATTCCATTAGCCAGAACTTATTCACATGTCTATAATTACCTTTTAAGAAAGGTAGGAAATGTACTTGTTACACCAGAAGACTACATTCCTGTATCACCTTGTTCTGATTATTTTTATATATATATATTCTTAGTTGTATATGGACATAGTGAATTTTATTTATTTATTTATTTTAAATTTATTTTTTAGTTGCTGGACACAATATCTTTCTACTTTAAAAAGAAAAAAAAATCTTCCTAGGTTTTGATTGGGATTATATTGAATTTGCAGATCAATTTGAGGGGAAATTGATATTTTAACAGTTGATTTTGAGTCCTCTAGTCTACTGACAAGATATATTGCTGTTTATCCTAATAGTATTTATGCAGTTGGTATGTCTTGTATGTTTTATGAAATTTATCCTTACATTTATGTTTTTTAATATTTATTTATTTATTAGTTGTAGATGATCATAATACCTTTATTTATTTGTTTTTATGTAGTGCTGAGGATCTAACCCAGGGCCTCGCATGTGCTAGGCCACCGCTCCATCGCTGAGCCACAACCTCAGCCCCCATATATGTTTTTTAATACTGTTGTAAATGGTGTGTTTTGCTATCATCTTTTTTGTTGTTGTTGCTAGCAAAGTTAATATTTATAAAGGGTTGCACTGGGCTTTGTCCTTTCTGTCCTGTCATTGAATTTACTAACATATCACTGTTATTTTCACTGCAGATCAATGCTTCCAGTGCCACCTGCAGTGGGCCCAACTTTTAGCTTTGAATTGGATGTGGAAGATGGAGAAGTAGAAAATTATGAGGTCAGTAGATGAATTGTGAATTAAATGAATTGTGAATTAATTTGGGGATTGTTGTGTCTTGAAAATATTGTTCTAATCACCATCTAAACATTAGGTAAACACTGCACTTCAAGATACAAATTTGTCATAAAAGTATTCTACATCTAATTTGAACACGTGCCATAAATCTGTATCAAGTAGGTAGACTTTTGATACTCTGTTAGAGTTACAGTTCTATTGAGAGAATGCAAATGAGAACAGGGGAAGTTTTGATGTTGAGATATTCCAAAAAGATTTTGTGGAAGTAGAAGTGTTTGAGAACCTGATCTTAAAGAATGAGGAAACTTTTTCATTCATAAGATTGAGGCAGGGAAGTCTTGAGGACTAGCGTATGTACTTTGTGTCTAAAGTGAAAGAGAGAAAACAGAGATTTGATTGAAAAGCTCAATTAGATGTCCATGCTAAATGTTTTTGTGTATTTATGGCATCATATCTCTTAAAAAGTCAAAACTCTGTTAGCAATATGAAGGAATAGATGGAAGTGGTATCAGAAAACTGAGAAAGGTACTCTATGGAGTAGGAAAAAATATGTACAAACTATACAATTTGATAAGGGATTAATATCCAAAATATATGAGTAGCTTTCACAACAATAGGCAAAACTGAATAACATGATTAAAAATGGACTTGAATGGATATTTCTCAAAAGAGTGACTAGTAGTGCTCAACATCACTGATTATGAGAGAAGTGTAAATCAAAATCACAGTGAGATGTATCTTCACACCTGTTGGTATGGCTATTATCAAACAAAGTAAGTATTGATAGGGTGCGGAGTAAGGAGAATCCTTGTATATTGTTGATGGAAATGTAAATTGGTACAGCCATAAGGGAAAACAAATTAAAAAAGGACTGTCAGCAGTATGACCTAGCAACCCTCCTGCTGGGTATGTGTAGCTATAGAAAATTGGCACCTTGTAGAAGTATCATGTCCATTACAGCATTATTCGCAATAGTCATACTATGGAAACAACTTGTGCAAGTCAGTGGATAACTGGATTTTAAAATTGTGGTGTAAATAGAGTGGAATATTATTCGGCCATAAATGGGAAATGCTGATATTTGACAATATGAATCTGAAAAATATTATGGCAAGTGAATTATAGAGGGGGCAAGAAATACTGATCTTCTTTACATGAGGATTCTTAAAATGTCAAATAGTAGAGTGTTGGTTATGGAAGTAAAGAGGGAAGTAAAAATATAGACTTGCCATTTGATAAGGGTAGGTTTAGAGGTAGATAGCATGAGGACTGTGGTTAGTAATATTGTATTGTTTATTGTAAACTTGCTAAGAACATAGATTTTAGGTACTCAAAAACTAAAAAAAAAACTCAAAAAGAAGTGGAAAGTGATGGGTAGGTTAATTTGCTTGACAGTGGTAATCATTTCACTGTGTATATATCAAATGATCATATTGTGTACTTTAAATACATACAATAAAAGAAAGTACAGCTTTGAAAGATGTTTTAACACTTCAATCAGTAGGATTTTATCTTGAATGGTTAATTCTGGTTTTCAGGGGTAAGTGTTCAAAAATTGCAAAAGATGATGCTCTACAAAAAGGACTGTATTAGCCCATGAAGAAGGCACAGACACCAAAATGCCAGTGGGTCAAATAGTTGACATTTAAATAATGTTGATCTTGCTATAGGAACATAACAGATGTGGTTTGAGGGTTAGCAGGCAAATTTAGATTTGAATATGTTGAGTGGAAGTAATTTTGACCTTAATTTGATACTGCCAGCCATCCTTCTTATCTCAACTTCACTTTGTCTTTTTCATTTTATGAATGCTGGAACCGTTTTTAGGTGCATTGAATGTGGGCATGGAGAAGGAGTCATGATCTTAAACTGCCTTTTTTTTTTTTTTTTTTCCATGCATAAGAGATCTAACCCAGTGCTATATTTTATAGTTTTTCTCTTTCTTCCTACATAATCACACCGCATTGTCCTTTAGTTTTTTTTTTTTTAGTTTTTTTTTTTTTTTTGCAATACTGGGATTGAATACAGGGTCCTCCTGCACATGCTATGGAAGCACTCTACCAATGAGCTGCATTCCCAACCCCTTTTTAATTTTATTTTGTTTGCATTTATTTATTAGTACTCTGCCACAGAGCTACATCCCCTCCTCTTTTTACTTTGAGGCAGGATCTCGTATGAGTTGCTGAGTGACCTTGAACTTGGAATCTTTCTGCCTCAGCCTCCCAAGTTGCTGGGATTCTAAACATGTGCTACCATACCATCTAAATTTCATTTCTTGAAATTAAAAGAGGCATTAATAATTTTCTCATTTTATTTCTACCATTTGCATTACAGCAATGTCTACAGCAATAAGAATGAGTGGCTTATCTTTATTAAAATCAACCTGTCTTAAATCATATTGCTGAAAGAGATAGCTGATCATATTTATATCAATAGAAAAGTAGTGGTACAATTGTCATATAAGAAAAATATCTGGGCTGGAGCTCAGCAGTAGAGCACTTGCCTTGCATGTGTGAGGTTCGATCCTCAGCACCACATAAAAATAAATAAACCAAATAAAGGTATTGTGTCCATATACAACTAAAAATATATATTTAAAAAGATATATCTGGGGCTGGGGATGTGGCTCAAGCGGTAGCATGCTTGCCTGTTATGTGTGCGGCCCAGGTTCGATCCTCAGCACCACATACAAACAAAGATGTTGTGTCCACCAAAAACAAAAATAAATAAATAAATATTTAAAATTTTTTTTAAAAAATATATATCATATTTTGACTTAGCTGGGCACATGCCTGTAATCCCAATGGCTCAGGAGGCTGAGACAGAAGTTCAAAGCCAGCCTCAGCAATTTCGAGGCACTAAGCAACTCAGTGAAACCCTGTCTCTAAATAAAATACAAAAGAAGGCTGGGGATGTGGCTTGGTGATTGAGTGCCCCTGAGTTCAATCCCCAGTACCAAAAATGGAAAAATATCTTATTTTGACTTTGAAATTCCTTTCTAAACTGTATTTTGGGGTTGAATATTTTGATGTTCTCCAAAGTCATATTTACAACCAATCAAAAAGGCCTTACTTGTCTTTTTCGTTTTATGTCATAGTGTAGCTGTTAAACACTCCCCAGCCCTGGCTCACTGGCTGGATCCAGATGGCTCCCCCACTCCAAGTCCCTACATGCCCAGTCTACCCTACATGTTCTTGTCTTGGTACCTTTACTTCCCTTGATCCTTCAGCTAAGATCTTTCTCCATTTCTCTATGTTTTGGAAATATAGCATAAAAACCGCCATCTTTGTGATTATCATTTCTTTTCTTTTCTTTTTTTTTTTTTTAACATTTATTTATATGCAGTACTGATAATTGAACCCAGGGCCTCACACATAACTATGCAAGCTCTCGACTACTGAGCCACAACCCCGGCCCTGTGAACAACATTTCTAATCTATTTCCTGGGTACAAACGAGTCTCTCTTTTTGTTCTACTGAGATTTAAGCACTAATCATGTCTTGCCTTCAATTGTCTTGCCTGTTGCATCATGTAAATTTTTGGAGGGCTTGATCATCACTCTGTATCCACTAAGGAATGAATGAGCATATTTTATTGTCATACAATTATGTACTATAGGACATACTGTATCCTATAGTACATAACAATAGAGGTGTTAAGGTGCATATCAACTCTATCATGAATTTTATCTAAATTTTTTATGCTGATTTTGTAATCAGCCTCAGTAGACTTCATGTATTATAGTGTTTAGAAGGGTTGAGTATAGCAGTGAAAGGCAGCTATTTATTCAGATGACCCAGTTCTCCAAATAAGGCTGTCAAAATGCAAAGCTGTGATTATTGTCTTAAAACACACACAGAGCTATACCAGCATTAGATATTGAAATTTGAGGAAATTAATTCTATTCCTCTCATTGCCCATTTCCAATTCTTAGTTACCTGTTCCCTTAACCATAAGGCAGCCTAATTATAGAATAAAGAAAATAGCTAATTAGTCATTAAAAACTGGGAGATGCCTGGTGCCATTTTACACACCTGTAATCCCAGTGATTTGGGAGACTGAGACAGGAGGATGGCAAGTTCAAAAGCCAGCCTCAGTACCTTAGCAAGGCCCTAAGCAACTTTTTTTTTTTTCCTAAGCAACTTAACAAAGCTGCCGCAGTCTGGCTGGGCACAATTCACGAGCCACTTGTCAAGCAGAAATGAACATTAGTTTCAGAACACACATGCTGCATCACATGAGCTCTTCAGGAATTCCCTCAGAGCCCAACTGCCACCACTGGCTTCCAGGGAGCCTCTCAACCCCTACTCCTCCCACTCTTGAGGCTGATTGGCTGGGTCGCATGGGTGGAGCCAAAAGAATCCTCCAATGAGCAGCTCTGTGGTCTGAAAGGGCGGGGAAACAGCCCAATGAGCATCACCACAGAGGAGCCAATCAGCTGGAAGTTTGCTGGGGCCGCTTCGGCTATGGCTCTCAACATCTCCCCCTCTCTGTTTAATTAAACAACAAGCATGTGGCTTAGGGACTGTGCTTGCCTTAGGTTGTCCAATATTACATATGGTTCTTACCTGTCATCGGATGAGCTGACCTCAAGGCCTCCTGTCTTAGATTGGTACCGTTGCAATTAGATCTTACCCGTCATTGACTACCGGGCCAGCATATAGCCACACCTGTGGATAGGCCTTTGTACCAGTGGGGGGGTGAGGTTCTTTTCCTCGCCTCTGTTGGCCCCCAAATTTTAGCTGAATGACCATCACAAGCAGAAGGGAGGAGGATACACCAAGCCAATTGACGGCTCCTTTTTGAAAAATTGTACCACTGATGACACCATCAGCAAAAATACCCCGGCACTACCACAAGTCGCTGCACCAACAGATAGTTCATAATGCATACAAGTGATACATAGTCAATGCAAGTTCTGCAAGCAGTTCAGTGATAGCTATTGCAGAAGCTGTAGTTTGGTTTTATCTTTGTCTTCACCGGCACTGGGATGAAGATAGGAAGTCTGGCAATAATGGCTAAAGAAAAAATTATGTAACATTCCAGCAGGCACTAAAAGAAAACAAATTTTCTGAACAATTTACATTATCCTGAACAGAATTATTAAATATAGTGAAAAGGAAAGGTGAAAGTAAACAAACAGATCTGTTAACCTCCTTTTTTGTTCACATGTTAAAACGATCCTCAACAGCTTTTACACAATTTAAATTAAACCATTTAAATCACGTGAGTAAGAAAAAAAATATTTGGATCCATTTTTTCATGAGCGCTCATCATATATGATATATGGACATACGGACATACATACATACAACACAAAACACAAGTGTGCACACATAATATAATACATACAACACATAACATATTAGTAAAGGCCTTATAACTTTTTACAGGTGAAATCTCCATAGCAATGTTTAAAAACTCCGTAGTCAAAAAATAGAACTGATCAGCAAAACATTAACCTAGGTCTGTATGAACTCAAAAAACAAAATAGAACTTTGTGATGTGGGAAAGGGCAATAATAAAATAGATATTGAAAAAAAAAACATCCTGGTTTCATTAGCTTCCAGGTGTGGGAGAACCACTGTTGCAGATGTGTAAGGATAGCCAAACTGGAGTTCTGGATATCCGCTGTTATGGATTTGAGCCAAATCATCTTCTTTTTTGGTCTGTAGAAATTGCTTTAGTTAGTCTCTCTGGAATCCAAATCAGCTGCTGTTCTCCCTGTGGAAATACACAAACAGACCCCCACTCCAGATAATTACTGGGTCAGGACCTTTCCATTGTCCTGTTTGAATATCCTTCCAAAGTACCTTGGGCTTATGTACATTTTTTGGACACACATGCCTTTCCGCAGCACTAAGCCCTGATGAAAACAAATTTTAAAAGTTTAGAGTAGAAAGGGTTATTTTAAGTTTATCTTTGGGAAATATATACCCTTTCCCAATTCCCTCTTTTGCTTTAATAAGGGTACATTTTAATAGTTTGATGAGCTCTTTCAACTATGCCTTGTCCCTGTGGATTGTATGGGATTCCTGTTATATGAGTAATGCCAAATGATGAGCAAAATTGTTTAAAAGAGGTAGAAGTATAACCAGGGGCATTATCTGTTTTAAACTGTTTTGGAACGCCCACAGTGGCAAAATTTTGTAAGCTGGCAGCTGGAGATTTGCTGGGGCCACTTTGGCTGTGGCTCTCAACATAAAAATAAAAAAGGGTTAGGGATGTGGCTCATTAGTTAAGCACCCCTAAGTTTAATCTCCAATACAAAAAAAAAAAAAAAGATCACAAGTTTGAGGCCAGCCTGAGCAACAACCCTGTCTCAAAACATAAAAGGGCTTGGAATCTAGCTCAGTGGTAGGGGATCCCTAGGTCCGTTCCCCCAGTATCATAAAAATAGAAAAGAAAGAAAAAACACTGGATGGTGCAGAAACAATAAGTATAGTAACTGCACTGTATTAAAACACATCAAATACATGAGTTCATAGTGGTGCTTCAAGAAAGAAACTTATTGGATTCATTTATCCTCCCTTTTCTTTATAAATTATACTACTGGGTACAGTTTGGTATGAAGCAGTTGCTCATTAAGAGCCAAGTGCAATGGCACATATGTAATACCAGTTACCTGGGAGGCTGAGGCAGAAGGATCGTGCAAGAACTTATCTCAAAAAATAAAAAGTGTTGCTCAGTGGTAGAGCACCCCTGTATCCAATCCCCAGACAGCAAAAAAACAAAAAATGATTACGTTAGAGTACTGTGATTTTGCCATCCTTTGTGAATTAATGAATCTTGACAGTGTTCCATCAGTGTCTGCTCACATAATGGCTAGACATAATAGACCTTATAAAAAAATTAGATACACCAACTTATAGGAAATAAAGGAGACATGGATGTATTAAAACCACACAGGTCAGAAGTAAAATTATACTTTAGTCAGCAAAATTCTACTGGGAATTTCTGCAGATCATTGATCTGTTTTCTTCAACAAATTTAAGGATGAAAAAGAGACTTGGGGCATATTAAACCATGGTAATATTGATTTATTGGGCTCCTTATTCAGATAGACCATTTGTCTTAATAATCAAAACCAACATGGCATTTGAACATTAATTTGGTATTTGATGTTGAAGAATTAGTATTAATTTTTATGGTATAGTGATATCATTGTGGTTATGTTCTTTTGACAAGTCTTTTTTAGGAATTGATTCCATGGTAGAGGTGACCTGCCTCCCTCTCTGAGGTTTATTTTGCAGGTGCAGAAATTTTCTGTGCAGTTCCCAGTCATGACCAACCTCGGTCTTTGTGACTGAAGCAACTGGTTATATTGCATATTCACTTGTATAGTATTAGAAATGAATCTGACTATAATTCTTGTGTTGTTGGATATCATTCCATACTGGGTGTCCGAATGGTGTCCTATTGGAACTGTAAGATTGTGTCCTTCCTCTCCTGAAAAATGTCATTGCAACAGATAAAAGATTACCTTCAAAGAGGCCAAGAAGGGAAAGCATGAGATGAAAAATGTACCAAATGTAAATGTGAAAATATTCAAGAGGTAGAGTGCTGCCTCTGAGAAATAGGACAAGAAATCAGTAAGGTTATCATTCTAGAAAACCCAGGCAATACCAACTGCTTGAGCTGTTAAGATCATATCGACTCTATCAAAAGTTGACTCCTTCCATCCCCAAGGAGATTTGATTCTGGATCACAACCAAACTAAATCTCATATTGCTCTACAACTTCATGTGACTACTGATTGTGAAGAATGTCATTATCTGAAGAAACTGATCCTCAGTTCATTGTCCAGATGTCAGCCATGCCAAGGTGAAATTGTAAGGAAAGGTGGTAGTTGTTTATGAAGCTGGCTCAAGGGAGAATTCATCATGACTATGCAGTAGCATGGTGCTCCTGCATCAAGGCTAAAAAGTCATCCAGTGTAATGTCTACTGCAGAAGCCATCTCTGACCACATCAGAAACTTCTGGTTTGGAACCTAACGGGAGTCTGTGTCTATGGGTGTTATCCATAATGGCATTAACTACGGTGTTACCATAATCTGCTCTGCTCATTCCCTGTGGTCATCAAGAATAAGACCTGGAAGTTTGTTGAAAGTTTCCTTATTAATGATTTCTCTCATGAGAAGATGAATCTTGCTGTAAAAGAATTGGCAAAAGAAAAAAACTGCTTTTGAATTTCTTTGCCTGACGAGGCAGTCAATTTGATGTTACTGTATGCCGCAAAACTGAAGAATCTTTGTGTCATCTTTGACTCTAGGATCAAATAATAATACCAAACTTAAATTACTCATGAAAAACAATGCATTTTAAAGATTATATGCTTCCTGGTACAGGTTTGTGAGTGAAAGTCTTATTATGATGGTAGTGTGTTGCATTCTAAAATTTTAAAAAATACTCACATGGAGGGGGGAAGATGTTTTTAAAGCAGTGGTTCTCAACCTGGGCATAATTTTATTCCTCAGGGGATGTTTGACAATGTCTGGAGACACTTTTGGTTGTTAAAACTGGAAAGTGCATTTAATGCCAAGGTTATTGCTGAACATTCTATTAGCAATAGCCTCCACAGCAAAGAAATCCAGCCTAAAATGCAGAAGTGTTAAGTCGTTAAACTTAATACACATAGAACTATCTTACCAGTGAAATAATACCATCTTTTAGTTTTCTTCAAAATAAGTTGGAGTTTAGGGTAGATAGTGATAGATGAAATAAAATTAGCCATGAATTATTGAGTCTGGGTAGTGGGTATACCGTATTCATTGCACTATTTGTTTTGGTTTGTTTGTTTGTTTTTACTTTTGTATGTATTTAAATTCTTCTGTGTAAAATAAAATATTTAAAATTAATGGACTAGGAAATTTAAAGAAAGGTGAAAATATGTCTTTTCTCTACAGGCCCTCTTAAACCTGGCAGAGCGACTGGGAGAGGCTAAACCTCGAGGACTGACTAAAGCAGATATTGAACAACTTCCTTCTTATCGGTTTAATCCTAACAATCACCAGTCAGAACAGACTTTGTAAGTATATTTTTTTCTAATATATGTGTTATCTTTTTTTCTTTAATTTAAAGGAAAATTTCATGAAATAAAAGCTTGAGACTCAGAACTTGATGTAAAGATAAGTTATCTCTTTTTCATACTTGGGGTCTATGCTGACCAGTAAGGTAGCCACTGATTGTGGAGCTATTTAAATTCAGTGAAACTGTTAAATTTCTTCCTGGGTTTGTGGTGCACACACACCTGTAACCCAAGCTACTCAGGAGGCTGAGGCAGGAGGTTCACAAGTTCAAAGCCAGCCTTGGGCAAATTGTTTAGACCCTATCTGAAAGTAAAATTTTAAAACGGGATGGGGATTTAAGCCTCAGTGATAGAGCACTTAACGAGCATATGTGAGGCCCTGGGCTAGACTAGAGTACTGTCAAATAAATAGATCAATACATAGATAAATAATTAATTTCTTAGGCATACTAGATACTGACTGCTATATTTAAAGGTGTTAATGTAGAACATGAAATGCAAAGTTCACCCATTTTTAAAATATACAATTCAATGAATTTTATTGTATTAGTAGAATTGTACATCCATCACCACAAATTTATCACCCTTTTTATCACCCCCAAAAGAAATCCTTCACCCACTTGGAGCCACTCCCCTTATCTCCCAGCCTTCTCCATCTTGACACACCCCCTAGCCCTTTGTCTCCGAGATTATATAATATGTGGTCTTTTTGTATCTGGCTTCTTTAACTTAGCATAACTTTTTCAAAGTACCTTTGTGTTGTAGCTTATATCAGTAAGTCACTCCTTTTTGTGGCCAAATAATATTCCATTGTGGATCACTACATGTTTATCCTTTTCTTCAGTTGATGTACATTTGTGTTGTTTCCACTTTGGGCTCTTGGGAGTCATGCTACTTTGAACATATGTGTACAGGTTTTTCTGTGAATATAATGTTTTAATTTTGGATACATACCTAGAAATGAATTGTTGGGTGTCATATTGTAACTGTGTTTGACTTTTTGAGAACTGCCAGTTTTTGCAAAGTTGGTTACACCATTTTTTATTTCTACCAACACTGTATAAAAAGGTTTCAATTTCACTGCATTTTTGCCAGCATTTGTTATTGTTTTTATTATAGTGTCCTAGTGACTTTGAAATTGTATCACACTGAGATTTTAATTTTCCTTTCCCTGGTGCCTGTTACTGTTGAGCAGTTTTTAAATTTCCTTTTTGTTTTGTTTTGGGGTGTGTGTGTGTGTGTGTGTGTGTGTGTGTGTGTGTGTGTGTGT